TATATAAAATATGGAACAGCCACCTCACTAACAAGAACATCTCAGAACTTCTTCCTAAAACAACCTGCTCTTTGTGTGAGCACAGGTACATATTTAACACAGGTGACCTTCTCAAACACCTGGAGAGAAGCAGACTTTTGTAAATGAGACCCTTTTTTGAAGGAACTAAGTTCATAGTTTTTTCATAATTTTCCTGCAGAAACCTGGTGTAGATATAAAAACGACTCAGTGTTCAGAAGCTGACAGAAAATACACACCATCTCTGATTTATTCAGAAACCTATTTTAGGTTTTAGCCAATGATTTTTCTGCTTATCACTTAACAAAAAAGCTGCTGAAAGCCGGTCTCCAAAAACTTCTTACAATTCTTCCTGTTATCCGGTAAAGCAGTTGCATCCCTCTGGTGCAGTGCTGCTGTTTGATAAGAACTGTAGCCTCGGGTCTTGTTTAAAGGACCTACATTCACAAGTGAATGCTCTCTGATGCCTTAACAGCACAAGCCTTTACCTGCCTCTAGGTTTACAGGAGGAAAATATTAAAGTGTGTGCATGCGTTGTCTCAGCCTCAGGCTGCATCCGCCTCTGTGGTGTCTGATTTCCATCCTGCAAGCCAGCTGGATTTTCCCTTTAAACCCAACCACCCCTCCCATCATCTCCACACACAAACACACACACAGTTTCTGTCTCACTCTCTCCCCTTTTGGTTCATAGCATTCCCCAAAAAGACATATGGCTAAAAAAATGCATATTTCAAGTTACATAACTGATAGCAAAAGGCCACTCTGAAGCAGGGTTTGTCTCACTGAGGAGCTGCTGTGGGTGTTTGCCATGATTAGTAATCTTGCCAACATCTGACACAAACTTAAAACTTTGACTCAAACTGTGTGTCGACAAAACCCAAATGTTTCTTGTGGAAACTCTTATTATTAGTTTATATTCTACTGATTTCCAACAATGAAAATGTCCCGGAGGAAGTGTATTTCTGCACAGATTACATTTTTGCATGCAGGAAAACAACAACATTAGCAGTATTTGAATGTAATTTCCAGGTAGCAGAGTTGCAACTTTTATTTATTATTTACTTAGATTTTATTTTTCTCTGACAAATTTCATATCCAAGATTCACACCTGATAAAAAATGTGTTCCTGTAGCTATATATTGTGATGTATTATTTCACCGCTGATTAATGGACTAATCAATCAGATGATTGACAGAACAATAACGGCAACTATTCTTACAATAAAGCCACTGTTGAACATAATTTTTCAAGCAATTTGACAAAACAAGCAACTTAGAGACTTTGTGGAGATTGAAATATGGAGGCCAACAAAAAGTTAAATACTAGAAATCAGATCTAAATATTTCTTTTTTTCATATACAGCACAAAAATGCAAGAAATAAAACTATATCACAGTCTGTTTACATGTGAAGTGATTTTATCCCAAACTTGTTTTGGGTCTTTTTCATTTTAACTCCACATATGCCCATAAATCATTGCAAATATTAATAACTCAGAAACATATTTATGGTCTGCAGACACGAACAAGCTTTTCTTGAGACAAATTTTCTGGTCTCTCTGTGATGCGAGCTCAAGACTTCAACGACCACAACCAGTAAGGGGTGGCCACCTCCTGGCTCTGGCCATGTTTGTAGGTAATAATTCCTATGATCATCTGATTTAGCTGTGTTTACACTAAATATCCATGATTTAGAATTAAATCAATTATTTATTAACTGTGGAGGGAAGCTTGCAGGCAACTGGAAATGCACAGGACAGGAGACACAAACCCAGCAAAACAAACCAGTACACTGAGGGCACTCTGGGTGTTTTATTTTGAAGGTAACCCAGTGGTTACTATCCTGGCTCACTAGCCAGTGCTGGGAGAAAGTAAAGTCAGATTCAGCCATCCCACACCAATGTGCACTCCCACTAGGGTCATTAAACCTCCTTCTGAGCTCCCACACATCTCTGGAATGCCCTGATTTTTATCACAGATTTAAAATTTTTCATCTTAACTGTCAAAAACATGTTGATTTGTCACCCTGATCATCACAGGTGAGCAAAGGGAAAGACTACCTCAGATGATGGCTAACAAGGTAGCAGCTCCTCTCTGTCACATTCAACACAAGTTGGTTTTAAAACTGTGCTTATTTAGTAATGATGAGTCAGTTGGTGCCTGAGGGGCAAATGAAGATAGACGAAAACCCAGAACTTGAACGGGACCTTAAAACATTAGAAGGAATATAGATATTTACTGTTTCAGGGCCCTGAAGTAAGCCAGAAGGCATTGTAAACCTACCGATGGAAGACAGCTGGTGAAGTGCTTACAGAATTATATTTTTCAGTATGATAGACTTTAATGTTCTTATAATTAAATGCCATAAAATGCACCCCAGTCAAGTCTAGAGCTCAAACAGTTCTAACAATCCACTCATCACATTAATCTTATCTGTTGTGTTTGATCAAAAAATGAAATTAATTGAATAACTTTGACTTCTGGACTATTGGTCAGACAAAACAATCGATCTGAAGATGTCACCATGGACCCTGAGAACATTTTTTTTCCACAAATTCTGACATTTAAACTATTGATTAGTTTATTGGACCTTGCAACCTTGAAGAGAGTCCAGATGGGATTTCACTTTGACGTATCCCACTGAAATTAAACTTGATGTTTGTATAATAATTATATAAGAAGTCTGTGCAAAATATGAGTTTTCAGTGTTTTATATGCTCTACCAGAAAACTTAATGAACGCTCTTTTGGGTTTGGACAAGACAAACAACTTAAAAAGATTTCCAATGGGCATTTGTCAATAATTTTAACATTTGATTGATTGGATGATTTACTACTATGGTGTGTTTTTTCACTGGGATGTGTCTATGCCTATTTTTCACACCTAAAAATGTTGTTTGTATAATGATGTGTTAGATATTTGTGGAAAAATGCAAAATATTCTAAATTTTTAGCTTCTCAAATGCCAATATGAACTACTTCTCTCTGTTTTATTTAATTAAATGGTGAATTAAATTGAATACATTTGGGTTTTGGACTTGGTTGAACAAATCAGGTATTTTTGAAAATGCTTTTACAGCATTTTCTGACATTTTATTGAATGAATAGCAACTGTTAGTTGCAGACTCTTAGTTGGGGTTTTACTATACCCCCTCCACAGTGCTCACACTTATACACAAATATTCTTTATATAATAAGTTTATGTCTGTCATCTAAAAGACTTTATGGCAATGTTGCTTGTCTTTAAAAGGAAAAGTGTAACAAGAAGGACAGTTACCAGGCTGACAGTCACACTGGATCCCAAGGTTCAAGTTTTGAAAGGAGAGCAGGGTACCACACACACACACACACACACACACACACACACTTACACTCCTATTAATTCTTCCTACCAGAAGCTGCAGAGCCGATCACCAGACTCTAATCAATCACTCAGACATTCTCCTCACGCACATGCATCCCTGATCGATAACCTACATTGGTGTGCAGCACACAGTCGATGTCCCCGTCCTCAGACAGCTCGCTGAGGCTCCTGTCCCAGTGTAGAAACGATTCAGTGCTGTCCAGGATTTCCATGACTCTCTCCGTGCTTGTTGTTTGTCCCCCAGCAGCGACACAAGAAGCAGCGGGTTGTCCTGCAGTGCAGTCGGACTGGGAACCAACTCCAGCTCCAGCTCCAGAAAAAAGTTCCCAACAACTTGTGTGAGTCCAGAAAATAAAAGACAGAAACACGTTCAGCTGGTTTAGACAAAGGCCGATAAATGTGTCAGAGAGCTGCAGCAGTCAGATTCGGGCTGAGAGTTGTTGTTATTGTTGTTGTTGTTTATCATCTCTTCTTTGGTTCAGGGTCCACAGGCAGGTTCCAGCAACCTCGCTCGCCGTTTCTTTTCTTGTCTTTCCTCCTGCTCACAGCTCAGACTCTCAGGAATGTATGGGTGGAGTCACAGGGACACCAAGAAACAGGAATGATATAGAAAATATTATAAATAAAAAATCAAGCGGCCTAATTCTTATTGCGACTCTTTGTCACCTCTGAATTCAATGCAATATAGTACTGGAAATAAAATGTAAGATGTACAATATGCTGAGAATTTGTATCAGCTATTTATGATAGTGTCAATACTTACATTAACTAACTAAACTTTCCGGGACTGGTTTTCAAATTAAAGGCCTCGCTCATCATTTCAGGACTGCTATTTGTTCTATACAAGATAAAGTTAAAGATTAAAAAGTGAAAAAACTATGCATAACACAGTTTTTTCCTGAAATGTTAATACATGGACGAGAAGTCGTTACAGTGCCATAGAAATGTGGAACGCAATCATGATCATAATAAAGGAAACCTCCACCAGTGTTTAAAAATATAAAAATTTAACCTCAACTATCAGCCTTAACTTTTAGGACAACACTACCACACTTTATCAGGAGAATATCTTAAGATCAAAAGAGCAGGGACTACATGTACACAAACTTTTACTTTTTCCTTTAGCAAGAATACATTTCCAATTAAAAATATCTGATATAAAAATTCTAATGCTTTTATAATTAATCATAATTTAACTACTTATATACTTAATTAATACTCATATACATTTCCAAAGAGTGTGCAGTATTGTTTGACCATTTCCACATGAATCTTGAGTAAATGTATGGATTTCCGTTTGGTAGTTTGATATAGCTTACATTAGCTACATTCACTTGTTGTGAAGTACGTGTCAGGAACTGTTTCCGTTTTATCATTTAGCGTCACTTTCACCCCCAAATAACCTTAAAATGTGAAAAATCGTCGCTTGTGTGTGGTGAATCCTCATTGCTGTCGAATTATTTTTCAGTACAAACCGCTATTTCCGGTCTCACTCTGCTGCATTCAGTCAGCTTTGACATGGAATCCTCAGCTTTCTAGACAACCCGCCCACATTAAACCAATTGACCAATCGGATCTATGTTTTTTTAAAACACTGTTCTCCCAGGCCTCTAACTGACAAATTACACAGCCAATCAAGAAACACATCTAGAATTTCTATGACCAATCAGTTTAGGCCAAGAATACATTTAACTTAAACCCGCCCCCGCTGTTACAGAAACTGCCAATCGCCATCATACGGATGAACATATTTTAGGATAAAGTCCCACTAAGTTAATACAATTTCAATTTAGAAATATGGGCTTATATTAAGCATATGATTTTTTTAAAAATGCAAGTTTATATGTCTATAAAATGCTTCTAAGATAATTTAGAAAATTAGAAAATAAAGTGAACATAAACATAACAAAATACTTTGGTAAAGAAATCTATTAGAGCAACATTTACAAAGAACCAGCAGTAATAAGCTGAAAGCAACCAGTGACTGTCCAGGAAGAAAAAAAAAGATGTGTGGTAACACCTGACAAGAGTGACAGGGCAGAAAACAAGAATAAATTAAATGTATAAAAGGAACCAAACTATCAGTACAATAAGGTACAGTTACAGTGTCAGCTCAGCGACATGAACAGGAAAACACAGTATGAGTAACAAATTTAAAATGAAGCTTCTTCCTTTACATTTGGATGCTATTCTCCTTTTTTACTTTCAGTCCTGTTAGATTTCCATTCTGAGAAGTGCAAGAAAAACAGCTGACATCTGCCATAGAGACAAGTTAATCTGAGACATGACACAGGCTGAAAGATTTGTTTGCAAATGGCAACCTTGTTTTCTAAAACATCAGGTTTTTGAAGGTTAAAAGAATCTTAAAGGTCAAAGTGTTTTAACCAAGTCAACAGTGTGGCAAGTAAATACATACAAACTGCAAGTGCAGCATTTGACACACAAACAAAAAGTGTTTGAACTGTATCTTTACAACAGTTATGTACAACTGGCACAGTCATGAATAATTTCTAAGTGTATATTTACTACAAGAGTGAGCTTGTACTGTTTCTCTTGGAAGCTGAAAAATATTTTTTCTTCCGCCAGCAGGAGGCGCCACACTCAAACATGATCAGTGTGTCACAGCTTATCCTGTCCCCTCTCTGGCTGGGTCAATCAGTTCCTTTACTTGGTGCCATTCAGGTCCCCAGTCTCATTTTTGCAGAAACAGGAAAATACAAAAGAAGATGTCTTGTTGTTGGATGGAGATGAAGAGGAAAGTCCTTCAGATTCGGTCTCTGTTCTCGCTCAGGAAGATGATGTTGTCTGGAGATGGGAGAGAGGTGGGTTTATTTTTAAGTTGTACTGAAAAAAACTGTATATGCATGTACATGTGTTTGCTGACCTGCAATGATGGTGGTAGCCTGACGTCTCACTTGATTCTTGTCCACATACTCCCCATAGTCCAGTTTCCCCTCAACTAGAATTCTAGACCTAGAAGGAGACAGACTCCGGATCAGCCACAGAGGTTCCACTACTGTACAGTGAAATCTAATGGTTTTATGATTTAAAAAGTGCTAGTTTAGCATTTTTACACTTCTCCATTCCATCATCTGCTGTCTACAATTTATGGGGTTTCTACACTGGGCTCTTTTTTTGCAAGTTTATGAACCTTGAACCAGAAACATGCTGACACTGGGCAGAACTACCTTAAGAGTTCACAAAGATGCTTTCTAAAAGTGGAGCTGGAGCTTAATAGTGTTTTCTGCAGGATTTATTTCTGAGGTTAGTTAGATGTCGTGGTGCTCAGTTGAAATGCGTTGTTCAGAATTAGTGTTTGGTTCCACGGTTCCCTGACAAAACTTGGTTCATGAACGGGAACTGAACCGGTTCTGTCAGTCACATCCTGTAGCCAGTCAAAAACAGGCTACAGAAAGGCACCGGGACGTCCAGGGATCGAAACCTTCTTGCTATGAGGTGACAGCGATAACCACTGCACCACTATGGCACCTAAAAACTATTAACGGATTTCTTGCAGATTTGTTTTTACTGCCCACCGCAGCTCTGGACAGAGTGCCGGCCAAATGGATGAAACGTTAAAACTTTATAGTTTCTGTACTGACAGAACGCTGCAGCTGTGGTTAGCGTGCCTTCTCGTCAAAGCTCACGTCAATTCCCAGCACACAGTTTATTCTAAATATTTTGATACTTTGTCAGTCCTTAATACATGTCACCGCAGACCACATGTGCTGTTATTTATAAAGGGAAACTAAATGTGTAAAGCCCACTGGGCTTTAACGTGATAAGAATATACACTTTGTATACCAAACCACATGAGCACAATGTCCTTGGTTCAAATCTGTCTGGGGTGGGGGCATCTGCTACATCCCATCCCCCCCTTCTCTGCACACACTTCCTGACTGCAAACATGTAGATCATACCCTTTCTTGACGTACTGGTAGGCCACATCTCTTAGACCGGGCTTGAACACTGACACTCGATGCCACGTCGTCTTCTGACTGATGTCGCCTGGAGTCAGGGAACAGCAGCACATAGTTGATTACATCAGTTTGTAAGTCACACAGCAAACCTTAACAGTCTACATTCCATTAAACAGCACGAGTAGTGCTTTGAAGCAACATTTATAAACTGTTGTCCATGTTCTCCAGGATCCCAATAAAGGAAAAATGAAACATTTTGACGGTTGTCTGTAAAACTCAAATGACATTCACTGAGCTCATATCTGAAACATGTATTAATAATTTCCAGTGAGGAGGATGATAAATAAACCATTGGTGTTGGAACAGAGTATTTGCCTATTTTGTGGTGACAAAAAATGACAATTGCATCCAATGTGGAAATAAGGGACTGGGCTATACTGTTCTAGTAATATGCACTGCTAACACAGTTATACTACCATACATTGTCTACATATCAGCTCCACAGCTAAAATGTTGTTTTATTTAGTGTCACACATAAAAGGTGATTTCCTTCAGACCATTCCAAACAAAGACTATTTTGATTCTTCCATGTTTAAATTGAACTAAACATGATTCTACAAGCAAACTGAGGCTAATTCAGCTAACCAATAAACCAATATGTCATGTTTACTTACCCTGTTATGTAAAAACCATGTATCCCCAAAATGTCATGAGCTAAAAAGATCTGTTCTTACAGAAAACACTATTAAATTATCATCAGCTCTGCATTTCTGTCAGATAACACCACTTCTCCCAAGAAATTGCTGAAGTCACAAATTCTTTGTTATTCTCATGTCTATGGCTTTTGTTCACATTGGAACAACACAACAAAACAAAAAAAAAAGCCAAATCTTAAACATTCCGTTCTTATACCACTGAATAGCCGGTGCCCAAAAAGTGCCATTCGGGACAGCCCCAGTTTTAACACGAACCTATCTCATAAAAACAAGACATGTATCCTGTTATAACAAGTATAGCTCCTCGTTATAACAACATGCTAAGCAAATGTTTAGATGAGTTGAATGTTGCCTAAATAATTATGCCAAGGATAGATGGTAGTATTTGTTAAGCACTGGCCCCACAGCCCACCAAGCCCCCGAATTTGGCAGCCAAAGCATATTTTTGGTGCTCCAAATACAATAACAATGCAGGAAAGACAATTTAACGTGACTTAATACATCTTTTCTTAACTGTGACACTTCAATAAAACTGCATTAGCATCAGAAACATAAGAAAACACGTGAGGAAACCTGAACAGCCCAAACTGTATATTTAGCGATCCAATTAATTTATTTTGAACATTTCCTGACTTAACCAGTGCTGCTGAAGCAGCATGAGGGGGTCAGGAGGGAGAGCTGTGGGACAGGACGAGGAGGACATCAGCAAAGTACAGTGCAGACGCAACAGGGCAGATGGCGCAAACACAGAGACGTAGATGCAAAGCGGCCTCGTTTCTATTCTTTCTTCTTCTTGTGTTCTCCTAAATAATTTATGAATGCGTGTGCGCCTAAACTCCTGCTTCCACTCACTCCCAAATTTGCCATTTTTTTCACATTCCATATTATGCGTTTGTGGTTCTTCTGTAGAAGTTTGATTTGGCATAGTACAGCTGTACTTCAGCAGCCCTGACAGAACAGCAGCAAGCTGGCTTTAAGTAACCTTACTGTTCATTGTTTTTGCAGAACATTGAACTAAAAGGCCCAAATGAAACGTGATGTTTGTGAAATGTTAACGTTCCGCTGGTAACGTGCAGGAGGTCTGAGACACGGAACCTCATGCTCAGTAGAGAGCTGATAATGCTTGGTGGCCACAGTGGGCCACCTGCTGGGCACATGTGGTGACCACAGGCCATGGTTAATGTTCAACCCTGGTATGACCAGCATGTACACATGTACTCGTGTACACAATCCCACTCCTACTAAACATGAGCTGTAGTTACTGTAGACATATTAAATACGTGGTTCTGTCTGTGTCCTTGGTTTCTGTTTGACAGTGGATGTGGGTTCCTAATCGTATAGTGAAAAGAACAGTTGACTTGTAATAAAAGTTGGTATACAGTGGTCCCTCGCTATAACGCGGTTCACCTTTCACGGCCTCGCAGTTTCGTGGATTTTTTTTAGTGCAAGTTTGCATGCTTTTTGCATGCCGTGCCTCCTGTACAGTACAGAATGCATTCAGCTTGCCAAATTTACATAAATCTTCGATCGCTAGCAGTGTGACTCTGAAGTGCTGTACTGTATGTTTGCAAGTTTTCTCCCCAACAAACCCCACAATGTCGACGAAACGTTCTGCACCGTCAAAGGCACCTGCGGTAGCACCCAAAAGGCAGAGGAAGATGCTAACCATCGCACAGATAGTTGGACTTCTGGACATGCTAAAGGAAGGTAGAAGTTACGCGGCTGTAGGGCGCCATTACGGAATAAATGAATCTTCGATTTGAAAATGTTAATGCCTGTCTGAGAAAAGTGTACAGTGTGTAGTGAGGGGTTTTACAGCCTTAAAACATCTATAATAATTGTAAAAAAATAAAGCTGACTACTTCGCGGATTTCGCCTATTGCGGGTTATTTTTAGAACATAACTCCTGCGATTAACGAGGGACCACTGTATACCAAAAATGCCCTGGCTGTGTTTCTATTCTGTTCTGTCACATCACATACCTGTTGAAGTCGCCTCTCCCTCTCCAGCACGCCACATCTCGTTGGTTGCTAAGGAGAAGATGGTAACAGGGTTACGGCCCTCGACTTGTCTCATCACAGGATCCTGACCGACCCGACCCAGCAGCTGGACACGGTTTATCGCTGAAAGAAAGACACAGACTCCTTATTAGGGTTCAACATCTTAAATGTGTACCCTTTGAAAAATACAAGCTATGTATTTAAAGGTCTGTCATGATTATTTTTGTCATGTTTTGGTAAGTTTAGGTAAAGATCCTTCTCTTACACACGCCAACTTCACTTACATCTCTCCAGGATGAGGCTGGTATCTGTGCTAGTGTATCTCACCAGCTGTCTGAAGATCTGGAGGAAAGAGATGGTCATTAGATTTCTTATCATGAGCTTGACCCGTTTTACTTTGAGTTCACATGCACCCTTGAAATTTTGATAAGGCATCAAAGTGAAACACATAAAACTATGTTTGATTATTTTATTGTGTTTTTGCATGAACATTAAATGCATTAAACTGAAGCAAAAGAAGGAGAAAAATAAAGAGAATTAAATAAAATTGAGTTTAAAAAATGTAAAGCCAGATCACTTGTCGTGTCAAGAAAATTCTTCATGATATGATTTTTCCAGTCTCTGTCATAGAAAATAAGCTTATGGTGCAGTGCAAATCACTTTCTTCTCACCTGAGCTGAGCCACTTCTCAACATCTTGTGTGTGCTGCACAGACCACTCTAAAGGAAGCAGGAGGAAACTGAACACAACTGACCTGAAAACAAAAAGGCAGAAAACACTAACAATGAAGAGAGTGTGTACACACAAACATCATAATGAATACACTTGATCCACCTCATTTACATAACTGAGCTGAATCAATCATTTGTCAATTAATCAACAGAAAACTATTTTAATAATTTTTAATTCACCGTTGAGTCAAGCAAAGACACTAAAATGTTAGTTTCTCAGGTGGAGGATTTGCTGCTTCAATTTGTTGTTTAACACTGTAAAACGGAGTCAAACAAGGCAAAGTCACCGCGTGCTGTGGAAAGTCATTAAAGTTTTCACTGTTCTGCAGTTAAATGATGTATTAAAGATTAAAATATCAGAAATAATCAGTTCAACAGCGCCGCATTCTACATCAGTGTTGGGCAAACAGAGGTCCGTGGGCCAGACCTGGACCTGCAAATCAAATATTTGGCCAACCAGTGAAGTTTTCTGATTCATATGTTTCACAAACCTAAGTCCCAATAATAATGACCTTATTACAATAAATAATTCAGTGACTCACATCTCAAACAACTAGGCAGCAGTCTAAGGAACCTGGCATGTACTGATTAAAAACATCCTTGAGCAATAACTATTTTCATTCAACCATAAATAAAATATTCTACTTTTAACATTTTAAGGTGCACTAAGCTTCTATAACTCTGTTAACAGTGACTAATGGGGAAATTACATCTACCCTTAGACATAAGGCCAAAGCCCCAGGTGTTGGCTTTAAATCCTACACTTGTATTTACCTCAGTGACCTGCTAGAACACTGGGAGTGATATTCAGATTTTCATTTAATGGTTCCCAAAAGATGAGTTGTGTGTTCATCTACAGGCAAAACAGCAATAAAACCAGTAGATTTTAGAACGGAATTGAATAGAAGTGACACGGTAGCCTGGACAGGTTTCTGCCCAAGAATCAAACTGCGTTAAACGTGGATTCAAAGTCAGAGCACCGTTATCTCAACACAGCAACGAGGCTTCTCAGACTCCCGCCAGATGTAGACACGAAATAAATCCTAGTAAAGTATCCTAGTGTTTTCTTGACACGGGTTGTTTACAAGTCGCAACAGGTGAACAACAGAGGAAAAGCAACGCGCTGCTAGAAAACGGAGTCAAAGTGTCTTAAAAGAACGAGAAAAGGTGTTGATAACTTACCAAGAGCAACACTTCTGAAAGGACTTCGTTAAGCTCATGCGCCTTCCGGTCCGTCTCTATCATGGGTCCGACGCTCTAAGGGGGTCATTAATGTTCCACTTCGTCACTTAGATTTAAAATATCATACATGTTTTTAAGTATTAATATTTCATATTATGCTCACATTTTAAATAATATTTCTCTCTAACTGACCCTTTAAAAACCCTTACATACTTTGTCGACATGAAGTTACAGTAATCCTTACTGGCTTCTCAACATCTTGTGTGTGCTGCACAGACCACTCTAAAGGAAGCAGGAGGAAACTGAACACAACTGACCTGAAAACAAAAAGGCAGAAAACACTAACAATGAAGAGAGTGTGTACACACAAACATCATAATGAATACACTTGGTCCACCTCATTTACATAACTGAGCTGAATCAATCATTTGTCAATTAATCAACAGAAAACTATTTTAATAATTTTTAATTCACCGTTGAGTCAAGCAAAGACACTAAAATGTTAGTTTCTCAGGTGGAGGATTTGCTGCTTCAATTTGTTGTTTAACACTGTAAAACGGAGTCAAACAAGGCAAAGTCACCGCGTGCTGTGGAAAGTCATTAAAGTTTTCACTGTTCTGCAGTTAAATGATGTATTAAAGATTAAAATATCAGAAATAATCAGTTCAACAGCGCCGCATTCTACATCAGTGTTGGGCAAACAGAGGTCCGTGGGCCAGACCTGGACCTGCAAATCAAATATTTGGCCAACCAGTGAAGTTTTCTGATTCATATGTTTCACAAACCTAAGTCCCAATAATAATGACCTTATTACAATAAATAATTCAGTGACTCACATCTCAAACAACTAGGCAGCAGTCTAAGGAACCTGGCATGTACTGATTAAAAACATCCTTGAGCAATAACTATTTTCATTCAACCATAAATAAAATATTCTACTTTTAACATTTTAAGGTGCACTAAGCTTCTATAACTCTGTTAACAGTGACTAATGGGGAAATTACATCTACCCTTAGACATAAGGCCAAAGCCCCAGGTGTTGGCTTTAAATCCTACACTTGTATTTACCTCAGTGACCTGCTAGAACACTGGGAGTGATATTCAGATTTTCATTTAATGGTTCCCAAAAGATGAGTTGTGTGTTCATCTACAGGCAAAACAGCAATAAAACCAGTAGATTTTAGAACGGAATTGAATAGAAGTGACACGGTAGCCTGGACAGGTTTCTGCCCAACAATCAAACAGCGTTAAACGTGGATTCAAAGTCAGAGCACCGTTATCTCAACACAGCAACGAGGCTTCTCAGACTCCCGCCAGATGTAGACACGAAATAAATCCTAGTAAAGTATCCTAGTGTTTTCTTGACACGGGTTGTTTACAAGTCGCAACAGGTGAACAACAGAGGAAAAGCAACGCGCTGCTAGAAAACGGAGTCAAAGTGTCTTAAAAGAACGAGAAAAGGTGTTGATAACTTACCAAGAGCAACACTTCTGAAAGGACTTCGTTAAGCTCATGCGCCTTCCGGTCCGTCTCTATCATGGGTCCGACGCTCTAAGGGGGTCATTAATGTTCCACTTCGTCACTTAGATTTAAAATATCATACATGTTTTTAAGTATTAATATTTCATATTATGCTCACATTTTAAATAATATTTCTCTCTAACTGACCCTTTAAAAATCCTTACATACTTTGTCGACATGAAGTTACAGTAATCCTTACTGGATAAACCGAGATCATGGACATATGAATGGAAACCTGGATACAGCATTGCTAGACCACGCACATTTATTCCTAAGAAAGTTGCTCAGTGCCCAAAAGGACAAAAAAGATGGCGGACTGGCCTCCTCGGATGTGAATCATTTTATTGTTGTTTGTTTTGTTTTGTTTTTCTGTTAGTTTTTTGTTTTGTTTTTCTAAACTTTTTTTAATTCAGGGTAGGTCCACTGAGAGGTCACCTCTCTTTTGCAGGAACGCCCTGGCTTTGGTGTTCACATTCACAGCTGGGGCGGACCAGTACAACCACAGAATGACCTGTGGCCACTGAGCAGCTCCACTGGAGGGTGAGGAAAGCACCCTCACAGACACTTTCGGGGTGTACCCTACACACACATGACAAGAGGGAGGAGGACTGAAAACATTTCAGACTCTGTTGGATCTGTGTCTATCCTTGAGTCATGTGATGACATGTATCACTATATAGACAGCCAGTGTAAAGAAGGCTTGAGAGAGAGGAGGATCTGGATGTTCTATGACCCTCCCATCTGCTGTCACAGAGTGGCCCAGGCTGTAATGGCCATTGAGATTATATATGTTGTACAGGAGGCAGCACCTTCGGCAGCTGGTTTAGAGTCTGTGTCCAGAGAACAGCTCTCACATTTCATCACTGTACATGAACCAGCCAATTTCGCAGTTGTGTCAGCACATTCAGAGAATATGGCTACAGCAAAAATACTGTGGCTAAAACATGAACAGCAATAGAAACTCAGACTGTCCAGGAAATAATTACAAAGAGGCAGAAGAAACTCCTAGAAGGCCTTTTTGATTACTATGACCCAGAAATTGAATATGAGACATCAGCAGACTTTTCTCAGGATATTTTATTGATGTAGAAGACGTATCTCAGTTAATGTGTAGTAGTTTTATTTTACATTTATTGCCACATTTTACTGATATGAAGTTACTTGTTACGGTGGTACCAGACTCCACCACCAGGTGGCAATGTATCTCCACATCTTTATCTCATCTCATGTCAATAGGATGGAGAGAAGAATATTGATTTCCAAATCAAAATGCAGCCTTTTTTGTTTGTCTTCTCTTTTATGCTAATGTAAATGAAAAAGTTTGAAAATGCACACCACTAACTAAATCACAGTATCAACTGATGAGCCTTAAGAGATGGGTCCGGCTTTATCTGAAGTGTAGATACTGTAGTATAGATAAATAGCAATACGCTATAATAAACACAGTATATCAAATTGTCCATGCATGTTAAATATAAATATAAATATTATTAATTTACACAATGTAGCATATACAGCCCACATTACTGGACTTGTACCGCATAATAAATATTTCTCAATAATGTGTTTAATTTGCCAAACTGTTTAATAGGGGGGCCGGCAGAGGTTGCGCTCGTTTCCCATAGCGCATCGTGGCGCGCTGCTGACACAGGGGTGGAGTTGTTTGGTGGGATGCGGACTTTTTACAGACACCTCCCTCTGCCTGTGGCGTTACAGTTCAACTTCGCAGGACTCATCAACATCTTCGACAAGTTGTCAGCGCTCCGCTGTTGGAGATGTCGCTAATAATCCACATTTTAGCGACACTGGGTGAGTTGAAGGTTTCACTTTATGCGCACAGTTTGTTCTAATGAAAGCTGTTGACCTGCTCTTTGGGAGACGATTCATATTCTGTAGCTGCCAAAATATTCGCTCTCACGTCCAGTAACAACACATGTGACGACATCCGTATGTAAACCATTATCCACTGTTTGCCTGTGTTTTTTCCAGAAATGAAACTGTTCCAGAACGTTAGAAAATATAAAACTGCCACAGGAAAGATTGAGAGAGAAGTCAGACTTTCTACAGTTTATCCTAGTTTGTCATGAGCTGCACAGAACCTCAATCCTCCTACCTACAGAGGAAATCCGTGTGTTTTTAATTAAAAAGAACAGACTGTAAGGCTTCTCTGCACCTGAGTTTTATAAATGAAACCAAATGAAGTCATGGTGTAATGCTTTGTGAGAAGATTCACCACTTTAACGTCTGAGTTTGCAGTGAAGAGCTTGTGCGTGTTGCATGTTCTCACCGACAGCATTTTAACTGCTTGCAGCTCTGTGGTGTCCTGTCACGGCACAGGAGCCAGAGTTTGCGGATGTTTGCACCGAAGGCAGCTGCTACCCCGCCACTGGTGACCTGCTGATCGGCCGGGCGCACAAACTCATCGCCTCCTCCACCTGCGGCCTGGAGAAGCAGGAGCGTTTCTGCATCGTCGGACATCTGGAGGTAAGTAAAGAGCCCAGGCTGCTGGTTGTGTGCTGGATGAGATATGGATGAGTGGTTCCACATCACTGACATTACATTACAAACATTACATCGTCAACACAAAAACAGTTTAATTCACATTCATGGGGAGTTAAATACACCCCAATACTAAATATCCTATGTATTATACAACATTCATATACAGTAGTTTTATTTTCATATTTTAGTCTAAGTAGACAGTTTGTACTGTATATAGAAAACTACCTCAGTATATAGAGTAAATAGGTAAATGGACACTTACTCCAGAACTGTAAGTACTTACTTTTATGTCATGCAACTTTATGCAGCACTTCTACTAGACTACAGTACGCCGGACAATAGTGTACTTTTTACTCCATTACAGGTATTTAGGGGTATATACTGTAGTTATATATTAATAAAAAAACACAATTAACTAGTGATGGGCAGATGAAGCTTCATGACGCAATGAAGCCTTTCATCCAATTGGTTCACTCCAGCGCAAAGCTTCTTGTTAGACTCAACAACCTGACAATGAATAAAGTTTTTTAAACTAGCTCCAGCTACCACAGGAACATGCTACTGGGTAGTTTTATTTTACAATAAGGCAAGTAAATTTGCTTATACTGTTTAAGTTTTTTATAAAATGTATGCATTTATCTGAGCCATCTGTAATTGTAGGCCAATAAACGTCTAGTATGTTTATAATATCAGTCCAAACAATACAGGACCCTGAACAAGGACATTGTATACCAACATCATTACTGCAACCTTTTTCCACAAATAAGTCATGCTAAACACTGGCCTTGATCGAATAAATGAGGTCAGAAGAATTTGCTGTCTTTTTCTATCATTTGTGGAGGAATTGCTGGTGACTGTGCAGAAAACTTCTCAGTATGAAACAAAGTGGGTCAGTTCTTTGTACCGAACCAAATTCATTAAAGTGATATAAAATGTGGCAGCAGTGTCGTCCTTGAAGATGAGATTTTTATGATAATGACTTATCGCTGATGAATTATTGCAAAAGAAAAGGGTCAGTTGACGTCAGCAACGTGGCTGAGTGAGTGATCTAAGCCTCGTTAAATTGAAGAGTCAGTCAAGTTTGCATTGGTGTGATAATGATGAAAGTTGCATGGACCCACTACAGTAACTTGATATCAATTCTGTTTCTGCAACTTTTGCAGTGATAAACCCAGAGATAAACTACCGAGATGATGTTGTATGTGTGTGTGGGGAGGAAAGCATGCACATGTACAGTATCTGCTTGCCGTCTTGTTGAGTGGGAGTTCAGACATTCCCCTTCACAATAAATGCGCTGTGTGCCTCACAATCCCAGCCCTGTTTGCATGTGAACCGGGGGCGAGGTAGGAGATATTCTCTTTTTATTGCACAGCCTTTGGCAAGTTGTGTGTGTGAATGACATCCTTATGAAATCAGACACACTCTGGGGCTTTTGTGAGGATGAGCACAGTCCTCAAGTATGAGCTGCAGATGAGGGGGGAGGAAGTCAGACTGAAGTAGCAGACTTTTTGTCTAAACACTGCTAAGTGGAGCACTCATGGAGACACTGCTCACATTTCATCAGACACACAGTTTGCTAAGCTCTGTGAAGTTGAGAAACATTTTGTTTATTAACATGCGGTATTGTGAGATTTACAAAATTGTCTCCTTGTGAGTGAACCTGTTTGTGTACATGCCAAAGCATCTGTTGTGCAGCGAGGCCCCTGCTGTTGACAGAGGCACTGGATATGAAACAGGCAGACACACTGGTAACATGATGTATACTGTACATCGCTCACTTTAAATCAGTCTTCCTGCACTGTATCAAGTAGATCACAACTAGAGCCTGGATAGAGTCGTGCTCCTGTGACAACTTAATTTATTAGCAGATCAGCTGAATGGGACATGTTGATAACTGATTGACAGTGTTAGGGTTTAGTCCCCCTCACCTGGAGGGTGAGGGAGAACTGGGGTTGGACTCAAGATGGCTGACCCAGGTGCTAGTACAAAAAAGGTGGTTTAATGGAATAAAAACAACATGACAACAAAACAGGGTCCATAATACATACAACAAGGGAAGGGCAGTGATGACTAAGGAGACCAGGACGGTAAACACACAAACTAACGACAGGAACTAGAATAGCAGAGGATGAGAACGGACAAGTGAACAAAAAGAACCAACGTAAACAATGTAATCCACAGCACAGAGACTGTCAGCGTGGAAGACAAAGGTATAAATAAGGAAGCCAACAAATCACCGGAATACGTCTCAGGTGTGCGCACCGACCCACGAGTCACTAATTACCCGATGCGACACAGCTGAGGCGTTGAGCCCGCAAAAAGGGAGAGTAGGAGAGGGAAAAAGAAAGAGAGGCAGGTCGGGCCGAGCGGACCTGACAGACTGTTTCTATATTATTTCAGGCCAAAATCAAAAGAATTTACTAGTTCTAGTTTCTCAATGTGAGGATTTCCTGCTTTTTTTGGATAAAACAAGCAGCTTGGACTCTGGGAAATGTTGATGTGCATGTTTCATTATTTTTGACATTTAAAAGTCAAATAATGAGGTGATTAATCAAGAAAATAATCAGCAGGTAATCAATAATAGAAATAGTTATTGCAGTAGATGCAATGAAACAGGTATAACATTCCCCTTATACGGTTAGACAGTACAGTATTATTCAACAAAAATGTGTCATTATTTGCTTTATTGGAACTGCTTTCTGCTAAAAAAACAGTTCTTATGAAATTGTTGATAGTCCAGTTATATGGCAAATACCACGGGAGGTGAATGATCCTTTAACACCTTCTATGCCCTCTCTGTCCAACAGGAGGAGAAAAAATGTTTTGCATGCGACTCCAGGGAAATGTACGATGAGGACAGCAACCAAGTCAGCCACACCATTGAGAACGTGGTCACCACCTTTGCCCACAACCGCCTCAAGACCTGGTGGCAGTCAGAGAATGGTGCGTGGCAGAAAACACAGTGCGTTTGTTGTTGAATGAAAGAGACACGACTCCAGTTCACTCCTGGTTTGAAGTGTATGAAGAGCAGAATGGTGTGGGAACTCTCACTGAGGCTGTTCTCGTTGGAACTGAGCTCAGTAACGGCTGGACAGGAGCTCACAGAGCTGTCTGTAGCCAGTGACAGCAGAGCTTGGAGGCGGGGCCTGCAGCTGTGCTGAGGAGGACAGGTGTGCTGAAAAGAAAGATGTGTTCCCACTTCAACACAGACAAAAAAGGAAGTGTGTAATGAGACAAGGACTCAATGCTGGGAATAAAAGTAGTTTACTATTATCTACTAACACAAGGAGGCATAGCATGCTTGATCCAGTGCCAGTTTCCAGTGCAGGAACTTTTGCAGGAATTCAAGAACCTGAATCATGTATCCCCTTCATAACATCATCCCTTAAAGAATCACATGACAGTGGGCTCCAGCACAGACTAAGAAATCCTGCTGTCTGCTCCCACAGTCCTCCTGTACATGCACACACTGTTCCTTCTGGGTGGTGGGAATCTGTCAGAGGGGTGACTCATAGAGGGGGCGGCACCCAGCGCTGCAGATGCCTTTGAAACAGCAGGAAGCTGCAGACACACAATGGCTTTGCTTGGGATTTCCTAATTCCCAAACTGTGGCCCTCCAGTTCCATCATTAACCTATGGATGGATTACTGAACGGGCCTATTGGGCACAGGCGCAGGGGCCCAAGAGTTTAGAGGGCCAGTGGCCAAAGATATTTCAGTCTGGACTGACATTGCATCCCTAGAGCCATGATGCCAGTGTGGATAATAAAGCACAGTTTATTCAGAAATCACTGTTAATCTTAACAAAAGGTTTGATTTTCTAAAACTTATTTTTATAAGTTATGTTACAACTTTAATCACTCGGCTCAGTAGTTCACTGCTTTCGACTGGACAGCACAACATGTTTTCTATTTAGCTTAGAGCAGGGACATTACCAACAAACTTAGTGAAGGAATTACAAATATCTGGCATAACAATCCAGATCCAAATTTGATTTGGACTGTATCCGGGTGTTGTCAGAGAGCCATCGGTCTCGGCTACACAAACAGAGTGAATGGGAATGCGTTGACGTTTTAAATACTGAACTGTTGCAAATGGAGAGAAGAATATACAGCTTTAATTGTTCGTTTCCTGTGTGACTGTTTCCTTTCAATTGCAGGTGTGGAGAACGTGACCATTCAGCTGGACCTGGAGGCTGAGTTTCATTTCACACATCTTATCATGACCTTCAAGGTGCCTATTTTTTCTCCCACCAACATGCACACATATACTGTATATATCATACAAATACCCTCGTACCCACGGTATGGAGATAAACATGTTGAACAGCTGTGGTAGTGGAGCATGGAAAATTGTTCTGGTCTCTGGAGAGTGGTGGGAAGCAGAGGAGGAGGGAGAGGACGACTTTGTGGTTCTGCAGTAAAAACTGGTCGGACATGACGGTGGCCAGCTGGATTCGTGCCTCTCGTTGATATAATAGTAAAAAACACACAGTCAAAGACACAGACATGCACAGCACATCCTGTCCCATCCTGTTTTCTGTTAGGAAAGATCAACAGCCACCACCCTTACTGTATCATACTCATTTCACAGTAAGAGATTAGAAAAAAACATGTAGGAAAATATACTTTTTATCAACATGTTTTGGACTGGATATCACTGTGATTTGGTTTCCTTGATCATTTACACAGAATCCTACATGTGAGATGATAACGCAAAGTAATCGGCTCAAAGAAATGCATTGAAAAATGAAATGGAAAACATAAAAATTGTGGTTTTTGTTCTCAAGTACAGGAAATGGAAGGGTTATCCTGACTTGTAAGATTAGTTTCCGTTCATGATGGAAAAGTATAGATTCAAAAAATGGAGCTTTAGCCACATTTACATTGTATTTTTGGGATCAGTTACTGGATATGGAACACAGTCAGCGTGACACTAAAGAGCAATGAGAAAACAGAAAGCGATGGTGTTGGCTTGAAATGAGCAGTGACTAAAAATCTGAGACATTTTACAATCAAACAAGTGATTTAGTGACATTTCCATTGCTCTCTGTTGACAGACGTTTCGTCCGGCTGCCATGGTGATTGAGCGGTCTAACGACTTTGGGAAGACGTGGCAGGTTTATCGATATTTTGCCTACGACTGCGAATCGTCCTTCCCCGGCGTTTCTTCGGGGCCCTTGGTCAAAGTGGATGACATCATCTGTGACTCTCGCTACTCAGACATCGAACCGTCCACCGAAGGAGAGGTAAGTTTACTTACTGAACTTTTTTGAGAGCTTATTTATTTCCCAGGTTTTCTTCTATTAAGATCAAAATCTAGCATTTAATGTACTGCAACTCTCCTGAGATTGTGATGCAGTAAAAACTCACTTTGAATCGAGACTTTCACTTTGTTTTCTCTCTTTTCAAGGTGATATTCCGGGTGCTGGACCCCGCCTTCGAAATTGTGGACCCCTACAGCCTGAGGATACAAAGTGAGCTGCTCCAAATTTGCCATAAACAGCTGTCATCACAGGTGCTAGTTAGCTAAGGGGCAGCGACATTTCCTTCTCAAACTGACTTATTTAAATTTGATGACTTATTCGAAGTCTGAGGAGGTAAAAACACCAGAACAATAAGACGCAGTGAAACTAAATTTCATTCTTTTGGTTAATCATTAACAAAGATTTCTAATGAACGTTACACAATAAACTAAATTTGGCATATTTGTAAGGAAAAATAAGTATAACTTTAATGTACATATCTTAGTGTGGTGCAGAATACAGTTAAACATCCAGTAATTAATAATTAATTAGCAGAGAAAAAGTAGTAGCATGCTTTCTTATTATTATTTAACACTTAAGATGTTTAAGCTTTATTTTGTAGGTCTGCAACCTCTTAATTATTCCCAAGATGTTTCCCAGAACAAACTACAAATATACTGTAATAATATTGGAAAGAAAAGCTCATTTTAAACCCAAGAAATTCCCAGAAATTGTGATTAGAAACTTATTCTCGTTATACAGCAGTTTATGCTTGCAGGTGGATAAATTTTACATCTTTGTAAGTGAGCTGCTGTGTGCTGACTGAATAGGCAATGATTTGAAAATTACAGACCAATAAATAAAATCATTGCCAAAATAAAAAGTTAAAACAGACAGTGGTAACCAAAAACCACACCAGGGAGGTTTAATTTTACCAGAGTGTGACGAAGACACTGCTCACGTTTCATTGGACACACAGTTTGCTAAGCTCTGTGAAGTTGAGAAACAGAAAAGCAAGAGGGATGGAAGTGATTTTCATTATTATTTTAGTTATAGTCTAGGTAACAGACAGCTACTGCACCTGGAGCAGAGCTGCAGAGATCAGAGGTCAGACAGCATGAGTACTAGAAGGAATTTCACATGTGGAAGTGACTGAGTCTCTGTAGACTCACCTGCATCCAGACTGAGACGCTCACACACACATGTAGAGGCCGCATGTTAAGTATGTGGTGAAAGCTGTGGGTGGAACAGGAATGATATGATAACCTACTGCACCTTGTAGAGATTTACAGAACAGAGGTCTGACTTTTAAAACTGAATGAGCAGCCAGGGAGCAAAGTATTTAACTCCTGAATTGACTCTGCTCAGTGGCCACGGATTTCCCTGAGAAAATAAAGTTGTAAAAGGATGTGTATTGTGTGCGCAGACATGTTGAAGATCACCAACCTTCGGGTGAAGTTCATGAAGCTCCACACGTTGGGCGACAACCTACTTGACTACCGTGAAGAGGTTGTGGAGAAGTACTACTACGCCATCTTTGACATGGTTGTGCGCGGGAACTGTTTCTGTTACGGCCACGCCTCGGAGTGTGCCCCCATGACGGGAGCATCAACAAGTGCCGAGGGCATGGTACATCATACTCACTGTCAACTGACCAAAGAACTCTAAAGTAGAAAACACAAAGCATGCAACTTCCTTCTCAAGAGCACCTGAATGTTTTGTACAGCTGTTTGATAATCTAAAATTAAAAAATAAAGGCCAGCAGGAGGCTTGAATCTGCATATTTTAACACAGTTATTATGACAAATCCAAAATATAAGCAGCTGTTAAAATCAGCCTTAATTTACCTGTGTGTGTGTGTGTGTTTAGGTCCACGGCCGCTGTGCGTGTAATCACAACACAGAGGGACTGAACTGTGAGCGCTGTCAAGACTTTTACCAAGATTTGCCTTGGAGACCTGCAGAGGGACGAAACACCAATGCCTGCAAGAGTAAGAACACAAACCAAGCTGTCCGTCTTTTGCTCCCACCTGTTTGCCCTTAAAGGAAAAGTTTGACAATGCTCTTCCTCACTTTCTACCACACCCCTGTATGTATGTGTAGTATAGAGCCACAGCCCGTTAGCTTAGCTCAGCATAAAGACTGGAAAGAACAAACTTTAAAAAAATACACCTACTACCAGCATGAATAACATAATACACTATAGGCCATTTTTAATGTAATGCAGGGTTTACAAACGTCACATTGTGGCTAAACGAACCATCTTAGCTGTTTCTAGCCTTTATGTTAAGCAAATTTGTTCATGACTCTAGGTTGATGTAAAAGCTCAGTCCATCTTATCTTTTCCCAAAATGTCTAACTTTTCTTTTAATAACCTTTATGTAGAAATTTTATAAAACATGTTTACAAAGTGATACAATACTAGAGCATCAGTGATATATTGATTAGTCCGTCTATCTAGTTTGATAATTGATTGTTTCTGTCACTTTATGTACATTTTGCTGTCTGAACTTCTTAAATGTTAGGATTTATAACTTTTCTCTGTGTTCTTTTTCAGAGTGCGAGTGCAACCATCACTCCACCAAGTGTCACTTCGATCTGGCCGTGTACATGACGACCCTCAACACGAGCGGAGGCGTGTGTGAGGACTGTCAGCACAACACGGTGGGCCGACAGTGCGAGCAGTGTGCACCTTTCTTCTACCAGCACCCCAACAGAGACCTGAGGGACCCCAGCGTCTGTGAACGTACATCACATCTATTACCTTTGACCCCTGAGCGTGCCAACACCCATGTTCTTCTTTATGGGCTGTCAGCACACGTCCTCCTCTGGCACACTTGTCTTTGTGTTGCTTCCTTAGACATGCACCATCTGGAGCCACACTCATCAGCAGTGTTGGAGCCTCTGAAATGAAATAACACACTGCGTTTGCAACTCTGCTCTTCATTATATTGTCCTTTCTCGCTCACTAATAACTTACTGGACCTGTAATGCTACTGTAATGTACTGTATGTGATTTTACTAATTCCTTTTCCTTACAAGCACTACATAGTCATACAGTATGGACAAAATTTTCTGCATGTCAGTATTTAAAAATATCTTCCCATTACCATAACATGCAGTAATAATTAGCATTCATGTGTCCACAGTCAACCTTATGTCATTGTTATTGTCTCCACAGCATGTAACTGTGACCCAGCCGGATCTCTGCAGGGCGGACTGTGTGACTCGAGGACCGATGTGGCGGCTGGGATGATCTCGGGCCAGTGTCGGTGCAAAGCCAAAGTGGAGGGAGAGCGCTGCGACCACTGCAGACAGGGACACTATGGACTGGGACAGGGGCCTCATGGCTGTCTACGTAGGTGACAGTTAGCTGGACCTGTTTTACTGTATGCTTCTAAATTATTGTCTGTCAAACACGTCAGTTCACATAATATTCACGTTTAGGCCAAGTATATTTCATCTCTCTGTGTCATGTTAAAATGGAGTTGGATATAATTCATGGATTATTCCCCTCACTATGAAACAAGATTCCATTAAAATACCACAAGCTACTGCTTAATCTACCCCTGAAAACATAAGAAAACTCTTTAATCTTAGATTAAGGTACATAGTGTGGTAACACCTGCAATTTTCTGATTGTTTGGCTTTTAAAACATCCAAAAAGAAGTATTTGTCACAGTACCCTAGAGTACAAAATGACATTATCAGATGACGTACTTTGTCTAACCATCAGTCCAGAACCCACAAGTATTTATACTTGAATATAAGACCAAGAAAAGCATTAAAAAAGCCAGGCCATCTAATGTTCAGAGTTTATGCTAAATAAATAACAATTATCAAAATAGTTTTCTTTCTGTTGACTAACAGTTAGCTCCCAATTTCTCTATTACATGTAATTTGAAAACCCCTTAAAACACCTTAACACCCTGAAAAGATCTTAATTAGCAAATTAATTTAAAAAAATTTTAACATGTCGTTTTGACTTGGGCAGTTCCCCAATAATATGAAAATAGCAAAGGTTATTCCACTGTATAAATCTGGTGATAAGCACAACTTCACAAATTATAGACCGGTTTCTCTGTTGCCACAATTTTCAAAAATCCTGGAAAAACTCTTTAATAACAGATTAGATACATTTACTGATAAACATAAAATCCTCTCTGATTGCCAATATGGTTTTAGGTCGAACCGATCGACATCTCTGGCCATTACGACCTAATGGAGGACATTACAAGTGCTATGGATGAGAAGAAATACACGTTAAGAATATTTAATGACCTAAAAAAAGGCATTTGACACAATCAATCATGAATTATTAATGGACAAGTTAGAAAAATATGGGATCAGAGGAATGGTTCTGAAATGGATTAGAAGTTATTTGACACAGAGGCGTCAATTTGTGAAGTTGGGTGAATACCAATCGAGTGAGCTGGACATTGTATGTGGAGTGCCTCAGGGTTCTGTTTTGGGACCTAAATTATTTATACTATACATCAATGATATATGTAAGGTTTCTGATTTAGTGAAAGTGGTTTTATTTGCTGATGACACTACCATATGGGCATCGGGTGAAAACCTACAGCAACTCTCTGGACGGGTTACACAGGAACTTGAGAAGATAAAGAAATGGTGTGACAGTAATATAGTATCTCTGAATTTGGATAAAACTAAATTTATGGTATTTAGGAATCGTAGACTAGATAACGAACTGCAAGTGAAAATCGGGGGAGCTAATATAGAA